AGATTAATAAAATTTTTTGTTTGCCGTACTTTATGTGTGTGTGTGTTGATGAGATAATCTCCCTTCCATGGTTCTTTAAAGAACTGAAAAATGACTTATCCAATAATAACTGTCTTTGTGGCATCATCCTTATACTTTTTGTTTGCGAATCAATATTCGTTGGGTGGGGGTTTCTGTTTCCAATAATGCTGGTGCCTAGGTATGAGTTATCTTTATGTCACTCCTATCAAACCTGATTTACTTGACTTTTTGAAAATTGATGTCTTCGCGTATGAGTTGTGTGACCATATGATCACGAGGTTCACATCATTTGGTATCAGAGCTGACATGTTACCGTAAAACTGGGTAGTTATACATTTTTATTAAAATCTGAATTTAACCTTGCCTGAATCGTATCAAATTTTTACTATTCATGTTTATTCTTCATTTGAATAAGAGTGCAAAACATGTATTGTGAAATTGTGAAGAACCTATAAATTGTATTTTCCAAACTCAGTATAAATTTAAAAAACTGGAAAACTAGTTTTCCTATTTTCTGGATAGAGACATATTTAATTTAAACATGATGTTCTAGTTTTTCTTTTTCTAACTCTAGTTTTTCAACATAAAAAAAAAACATTGAAGTATTACTCTATTTTAACATTTAAATAACATTAAAAGTTACTCTTTACATGCCACACCCTAACCACCTTCCAAGGATTTAATTATAGTTCAAAGAATCTATTAAACTTTTTATTTGTTGATAATAACTTAGTCCAAACTAAGTTATACCACTTGTTAATTTAATTTATCAAGGATTACCACTCCAAGTAGGAGTGAACATTTTGGTCATTTATGTGAACTTATGCTTCTTCAGTTGATTTTTTTTATTAATTTTTATTTTAATTATTTAATCAACTACTTTCTGGTTCTTCTAACCAATTAGAATTCTTTTGATTGATTTTACTATTTATAATCGATTTTAGCTTTTATATATATATATATATATGTTTAACTATGGATAATTACTTTTTTTTTTGTTTTATCTAGACACAATAATGTTTATTTTTAGTATAAATAAGTAAGTTATCAGTTACTTTTAAATTATTAATTATTTTTCCACAAGTAATTAAAATCTCTAATTATTAATTAGTGATTGTTAAAAAAATAACACTAGAACACATGGAAGCACAATTCATGTTTTTCTTTATTCCTGTTAAAACTTGAGAATCCACATGGTGCAAAGAAGGGTAGAAAATTGAAGGAGAATGCTACTGTTTTACTATATAAAACTACCTCTATGTTCCATATTTTGAGGATAATATAATTTTAGTTATTTATATATAAATAATTGTTTAGTAATTTAATCATTTCATTTTAATCTTATCTCTGTGTTATCATTATCATTATAATTATGTATATTTGAACACAAATATTAATAGATCTCATGTTTATTAAAAAAATTAATCTAAATTTTGTATAAATTTTATAGGTTTCTTCCAACTTAGTATTAGTTTTTAATTTTTTTTATTATTGATTGAATTTGAATTTAGAAAATTTCTATCCTAACACTATAATCAAGAGGCAGTAATTTTTTTTAAATATATAATATATTTATTTTCTTGAATCATATCAAATTTAAAATTTTAATTATTCTTTATTTTTTAATAAAGCTATTATATCATTTGATTTTATAAATTTATCAAGAAAAAAAGCTTAATTAAAAAAATAAAAAAAATCAGAAAATATATAAGTGAACTCCTATACAATTATAAACTTTTGAACAATTTGAAGGATATTAATATAGGTTGATTTAGGATAAAATATGAGTTTCTTGAGTTTTCTTTTTTTATATCTTACCAAAAAATATTCAACATGTATTTTAAACTAAAAATTATGATATGAGCTTTCTATTTATTAATTTAACAAAAAGATTTTATAATAAACTTAAATAAGTTGTGACTCAAAGTATTTAGTTGAAAAGTTTCCTTGCAATTTTTTTTCTCTTTTAATTGTGATTTAAAGTATTTTCATTTTTAATTTTTTTTTTTACACTTACTTGACAAGATGGACTTTTTTTATAGATATGCGTGAAAGACATATGATCCTATTAGTACATATACTCTATAGCCAATTGGTTAGTTATACGTGATATTAATTTTATTTTTATAAATATATTTAATTTATTATAATTATGAGATTTCTATCGCATTAAATGATCTTAGTTAATGCTTTATTAAGATAGAAATTAATTATAGCCACTG